CTTCATGAAGGTTTTTTAATTCAAAAAACTATTATATAATAATAATAAAATGCTTGGTCTGTCCTTCTGTCCTAACTTGAAGTTGGCCTTTTCTGATTTCACGTGTTTTTTTGAATAGTACAAGATAGTAATTTAAAAAAATTTATTTTTAAAAATTAATTTTTAAGGTACCAGGGGCCAACGAATACCTATTAAATATTAATTATAAAAATACAGGCCTCGAATCAACTTAAAGACACAAAAAGTGGTTTCAGTCGATTTATATTTCAAAAAAAAGTGGATTTGTTTTTCATTTTAACAAAAATATTTTACAGATTTTTAAATAAAATTTTTTTTTTTTTTAATAACAATCCTTTTCGAAAGGTTAAAGTTGAAATTTTTAGAAATAATTAAATTTCAAAAGATATTGTTAATTTTCAAACAATTATTAAATTTTACAGAACTAAAAATAATTTATCAAATAATTTTTGGAAAACATTTTTTAAATTTTATTGAATTTTCAAAGATTTAAAATTGAGATTTTTTAAATTAATTGAAACTTTAAGTGATTTTTAATTAAAATTTTAGATGATTTCACTAAAAATTTATTAGAAAATGCGGACAAAATACAATAATTTGAAAATCATTTTTAATTGAAAAATGGTTTCAGATAATTGAATTTTCAAAGAATATTATTAAAATAGTTAAAAATAATTGAATTTCCTTAGAGTTATAATTGAAATTATTAAATTTCAAAAAAAAAAATTTTCGATGGAAAATTTTAAAAATAATTAAATTTTAGATGCTTTTAAATTCAAATTATTGAAAATTCAATTAATTTTGAATTCAAATTTTTGAGAATAATGAAATTTTATTTGATTTTAAATTTGGAAAATAATTGAATTTTAGTTCATTTTGAATTGAAAATTTTGGGAAATAATTGAATTTTAATTGAAATTTGAATAATAATTTAATTTAAGTTCATTTTTGATTGAAAATTTAAATAATTAATTTTAAATTGAAATTTTAGAAAATAATCGAATTTTATTTCATTTTAAATTGAAAACTTGGTAAATAATTATAATTTTAAATTGAAAATTTTGGATAATTATTGAATTTTAATTGATTTTGAATTAAAATTTCGAGTAATAATTGAATTTTAGTTTATTTTGAATTGAAATTTTTAAAAAATAATTCAATTTTATTGTGATATTTTTTTTTAAATTATAAACAATTGTTTAATTTCATAAAAATTTTAATTGAAAAATAAGTTTGATATAATTGAATTTGCGATGTATTTCATTAAAATTATTAAAAATAATTAATTTAATGAAGAATCATTTTAGTTCAAAATTTGTTAAATAATTGAATTGAAAATCTGAAGAAGATCTACATTTTATACTAAAAAAAATATGTATTTTATTTACATTTTTTTTCAAATGTAAAAAATAATGTCGCATTTTATTAAAATAAGTCGATAAAAGTCGTATTTTTGAAAAAAGTCGGAAAAAGTCGTATAATTCGAGGCCTGTAAACATATAATTTTCATTATTATTTTTAATATGTAATAATATTCTAATAAATTAAATTATTATTGATAATATTAATCTTTAATTTCTTTATAACAAACAATTAAATACTCAATTTGGCGCGCTTGCGCGCGTTTAATTTTGCATAGTTAACTAAATAATTAAGTTTTCAATTAACTCCTTATAAAAATATTATAAATATTATAAATATTATTATTGAAAATAATTAATTTAACTAACAATAAGATTTGGAAATAAAACCTGATGTATAATAATTTGATTTATGTTCAGCGCATCAAAATACATATAGGGTAAATGCACTAATTGCGGCGAGATTCGAGTCAAAACACCTTTGAAATAGAAAATTCGACATTTCTATTGTATAAACTCAATTTAAGACTTATTAAACTTAAAGCTTATGTTATTAAGATATTAAAAAAAAATTTTAACTCTATAAAAATCGATTATTTAAACAAATATGAGAAATTAAAACTAATACCGTAATTTTCTATTGCGGCGAGTTTGTATCAGTTTCGGTGTATTAATTTCGGTGACCAAAATTACGTGTATTTTGAAGATACTTTGCCCGCCGAAATCGAAGCCAATGGAAATCTTAAAAATGTTTCAATTGCGGCGCGGAAAAAAATTTGATCTCAAATAATTAAATTAATAATTGTTTAAATGTGCATCTTTATAAGTATTTGTATCAAAAAAAGATTGAAATAATTTTTTTTAATCATTTGGCAACAGTTATATTAAATATAATAGTAATAATAGTTATTTTTTATGAACGCGCCGTAATTGGTGCACTCGCCGTAATTAGTACACTTACCCTAAATACGAAAAGGATACTCCGTTCAGTGGTGCAGAATAATTATTTTTTTGAAACTCTGTATTTGTCACTAAAGTATACACTACACTATATTTTCAATTAGAAGTAATTCTCATTCTTTTTATCAAAAGTCACTGAATCAATAGAAACTCTAAAAATAATATTCACCAATTAACCTATATTTTCAACAAGAAAGAAAAACTCAACAATCTGAAAATGAAAAATTTTTATAACTCGAGATTCAAGTTTATTTGTATATATATATATGAATAGATATTGAAACTTCTTTAATTGATGAAACCTTTTTTTTCATCTTTATACCATAAAGTAGCAAAGAGATGTGTTTTTGAAACAAAAATAAAGAATAAACTTATTTTGAATAGATATATAATTATTCAAAATCAGTAATCTGTAGTAAATTCAGTGTGGTATTATTCAATTATTTTGCTTGGAAAAGTGCTTTCAATTAAAAGCACGATGCAGTTTGGCTTTTATAGAAATGTACAAAACCGAGAATCTCTCTCTCTCTCTCTCTCATTGAAATGCGTCTCGTTTGGTGAGGAATGAGTTGAACTATGCGAAATGAAAGAGGCCTGATTCCCTCTTTGGTTTACGTCGTTAAGGGAGGCGAAAATCCGAGTAATTCGTGTACACTATATGGATAGACGGGGGAGACTTCAATCCGATCGAACCTTTCTTCAACGAAGCGAATACGACTTAATCCGTACGTGCTAAGCTCTAGTATAACAGATAGAATAATTGAACCTTGCTGCTCAGCTTACGAAAGGAACTCGGCAGAGTCTTAAGATGCCATCCGATTTCAGGCTGAAAAGGATTAGATTACGATGCAATTGAAAAAAAAACAACACATGTAGAGATGTACTTTGAGTTGAAAAAAAAAAAAATTTCCACTTTAGACCATTTTTCAAAAAGGTGTAATAAATTTTTTTTTTTTTTTGCAACTTTTTTGATGCAATAATATTTTTGGTGATTAATAGTTAGAAGAATATTGATTTACCATGAAAAACAAAATTGTTGTAGTTTTATTAAAAAAAAAATTGGGTCTGGGGTAAAATATAAGGTCCCATGGGAAAGAAAAGTATTTTTTTTTTAATGAGACCACTAATTTTCATTACCAATTTCGCAATTCCATTAAAATTCTACTTTTAGATATGTGGCCAAAATATTGGGCCTTATCACAAGTACTGGGCCCGAACTTTTTACAATTAATTAAATTCGTAAAAATTTTGAAGGGTTTTTTTTTTAAGGTTACAGATTACAATGTCAAAGTCAAGTTTTAAATTGGGCCCAGGACCCAATGTAAGGCCCCACGAAAAAAAGTGTTTTTTTTTAAAAATGAGATCACTAATTTTGATTATCTTTGTCATCCCGTTAAAATTCTGCTTTCAGATATGTCATACACATGGCCAAAATATTGGGCCTTATGTCAAGAATTAAATTGGGCCCGAACTTTTCGGGCAATAATTGAAAGTAAATTCACGAAAATCACTACTTGAGAGAGTTTTTGAAGTCACAGCTTACGATTTTGAAGTCAATTTTTAAATTAAGCCTTGGGTCTAACTTAAGGCCCAATTTTTTAAATTGACATCGAAATCGTAATCTATGATCTCCGAAACTCCCCAAGTAGTATTTATTTCGAATTTACTTAATTGTAAAATAAGTTCGGGCCCAATATTTCATATAAGGCCCAATATTTTGCTCATGTATATCTTGCATGTGTAATCGAACAATTTTTGGCGGAATTACAAATTTGATAATGAAAATTATTAGCCACATTATAAAAAATTCTCTTTTTTTTAAATGTGGGGCCTTACATTGGGCCCCGGGCCTAATTTGAAAATTGACTTTCAATTCGTAATCAATAACCTCCAAAACTCTTTAAGGAGTGATTTTCGCAAATTTAGTTAACTGCAGAAAAAATTCGGGCCCAACATCTGAGATAAGTCCCAATATTTTGGTAATGTGTATATTACATTTTTGAACTCAGATTTTTAGTGGGATTACGAGTGTGGTATTAAAATTAATGGCTTCTTAAAAAACAATTCTTTTACTTACACATGACCAAAATATTGGGCCTTATGTCAAGAATGGAATTAGGCCCGAATTTTTTCCACAATTAAGTAAATTCGCGAAAATCACTACTCAAAGTTTTTGGTGGATTATGATTTCAAAGTCAATTTTTAAATTGTTACGTAATGTAACATAAATAATATTTTATAAATTTTTATAACAAATAATAATAATTAAAAGTTTTATATTTCAAATTAAAATTATAGTTATAAAAATTTAATTACAATTTTAAGCCTGGATTCTCATCCAATAGCTTGGGAATTAATTTTGGTTATCTATTGAATTTTTCTTATAGAAATTGAAAAATATAAAAGGAATACATAAAATAAGGATTAAAATTTGTTAGTCACAACTACATAAAGTGACATTAACAAATTTAGGAATCAAAGGTTGAAAATAATAAGGAAACACATAGGTCAAAAATAATACAATTTTAAAGAATAACCGCCAGCTTTACTACGGCAGTATTCTTTGGAATTGGGAAATTGTGAAAAGTTTTAAAGATTGAAAGAAGTTTTTCAAAAAAAAGAGATAAGATAAAATAAGAAAAATATAATTTTAAAACTTACTTTTTTTTTATTTATTAAAAATAATTTTCCCTAAAGATGCAAAAATATTAGAATGTTGTCCTTCCTTGATATTCAGTAATAAATGTGGAAAATGCACTGAACTTTTTAAGAATAAAATAACTTTTAAAATTTGATTTGAGTACGAATAACTTTTGAAATAATTTTTTGAATGTAAATTTTTGAAAGACTTTTGAATGTAAAATTTTGAAAGAACTCTTATGAGTTAAATTGTAGCAAATGTAAATGTTTTTGTGACTGTTGAATGAATGTAAAATTTTTGAATGTCTTAAAATTTTTGAATGAGCTGCTGACTTACGCAAACATGCGTTTTTAAGGGTCCATCCCCACTCAAAATTTACACTTTTTGTGGGTTGTCCCTTAAAGAAACAGATTTCCAAAAAGTAGGGATAAAATCTCAAAGAAGGAGAGATCATTTATATTTTGCATCTTTTTACAATTAGATTAATTTTTTGTTATAAACAATAATAATTTTTATTATAATTTGTTATTAACAATATTATTTGACTTAATTTACATAACCCTTTTTAAATTTTGGTTCTACGACGATTTTTAAGAATAATTCATTTTTTAGATTTAATTTATTTATAATTTTCTATAATTATTGTTAATTTTAACTAATTTGTATAATAACTTAACCTAACCTACAAATTATAGTTGTAATTATTTAAAATTTTAATTATTTATAATTATTTATTGTTAAATATCAATATAATTTAATTATTGTTAAATTGTATTAAATTTTAATTGTTTATTTATTAATTTTATATAATTTTTATTATTAATTTTACTTATATTAATAATTTTAAACAATAATTAATTATAAATTTTGACAATTATTAGTTTTTATTAAAATTTAATATAAATTGTTGAAAAATATCATTTTAATTATTTATTAATAATAATAATGAAATTAATTATTAAAGTTAATTGTTATTAAAAATTTATATGTGTGTGAATTTTAGTATAATATATATTTTCGGAACCTAGACAAATTTTATTACAAACAGAAGGAATTCTTGGCTACAGGGACTCTCGGACCTGTCGTAAGAAAAACGAAAATAAAAGGAAAAGGACCCCGGCGGTCGACATCTGGAGGATGCACTTGTAGAGTTCGAAAAGATTTTTATGGTTGTATTTTATAATTTTATTGCTTACGGATGTTTCAGTTTCTTAGATTTTTGGAAAAAGTGCATTCTGGTAAATGTTGACCACTAAGGTTTCACGTTTCATTATCTGCTTAAAAAGGCAACAAGAGAAAAAAAACAGATACATTATGAGTCGATGAGTACAAGAAAGAACATGATTTTTTAAATAAACAGATGTTGTTTTTCTTTAAAAAGATAAGAAACGTGGGAGAGAGAAAAAAAATTAAATATAGAGAAAAAATAAGATTGAAAAATGACCAGATGTAACAAAATTAAGCTCAGAATCCAATGTAAGGCCCAATTTTAAAATTGACATCGAAATCATAATCTATGATCTCCAAAACTCCCCCATGTAATGGTTTTTTTTTGCGAAATTACTTAATTGTTATTTAAATTTGAATCAAATATCTGAAATAAGGCCCAATATTTTGGTTGTGTGTTTTCCATGTGTAAACGCAGAATTTTAGCGGAATTACGAATTTGACACTAAAAATTAGTAGTTTGATTTTTAAAAATTAATTTTTTCTACTTTTGGGCCTTACACTACTAGGGCCTCGGGCCGAATTTGAAAATTGACTTTGATATCGTAATCGTAGAAGCTTCAAAACGTCTCACTGTAATGATTTTTGCAAATTTTCCTTAATTCCAGAAAAAGTTCGGGCCCAATATCAGGATAAGGCCCAAAATTTTGTTAATTTTTATTGAACGCCGATTTTTAGCAGCATTATGAATTTGATATTTTAAATTATCGGTCTCATTAAAATAATACTTTTTTCTACATCTGACCAAAATATTGGGCCTTATTTCAATAAATGGACCCGAACTTTTTTTTACAATTAAATGAATTCGCAAAATTCACTACTTAGACAGTTTTTGAGGATATAGATTACGATTTCGAAAGTAATTTTCAAATTGGACTTGGGGCCCAATGTAAGGCCCCACGCAGTAAAAAAATGTATTTTTCTCTTAACTTGTGGTTTCCAAACCCCCCCCCCCCAAGTATTATGAATAATTAACTCATTCGTTTCTTTAATACATCATCTAAATTATCTTAATATTTACTTTTACATTTTTTTTCTTTTTTCATTATATAGTTTACCAAATACTCAATAAAGTTTTCGTTTCATTTATATTTATTTCAAACCTCCTTGAAGTTGACTTCGACGCTAAGCGCCGAAAATTGTTTTTCGCAGAATCAAAAATATTAAAACATTTTTTAAAAAGGTTTTTGGTCTACACACTGCCTTAAGAAGTATTTTTCAAGGTATTATTTGGATTGAAAAAATAAAAAATAAAAATTTGAAATTTTTAATTATGCGAAAAACAATTTTCGGCGCTGAGCGTCGAAGCCAACTTCAGAGAGGTTATTTCAAAACAATTATTTATTATGAAAGAAAAGTTTTATAAAATTTTTGTTATATATTTTTTTATTTTATTTTTAACTACATTGAAAAGAAAAAAAAAATATAAAATTATTTCAAACCACATTCTTTTTTTAATGTAAATCAATTTTACAATGAAATAAAAATCAATTACTTTGTTTCATTGAAATGAATAAAAAAATACCTATATATACATTATTTTTAAAAGTAAAAATCAAATGCTACAAATTTTTTTACAAAAAAAAAAAAAAAATCGACAAGTATTATTTTTTTTCCCCCAAAAAAAAGATAAAATAAAGAGGAATAAACTATTCTCTGGCATAAAAAATCGGACGTGTACTTTTCAGTGAAATAAAAATATATAAAAAAAAGAAAAAAAAATCCCCGTTACATTTATCTCTCGATTGTGAATCGGATGTCATTTTTTCCGGCTGACAATTAAAATCAAATGGAATATAGATTAAAAATCGATATTGACTCTCGTTAAAAAATTGTACTAAATATTCAAAAACGGAAGCATTTCAGCAAGCAGGATCAGTGTTGAAAATTTTATTTCTTTTTTTTTTTCTCCCGACATGTGAATTTTTTTTGTTTTTTTTGTTGCAAAACGATAATAGTATTCGTGGTCATGTGCTTTTTCGATTCATATACGTCACACATACATATATAGTTGTATATATACGAAATAGTCGCTAAGGTATGCCGGTAAATTTGAGTCAAAGTAGTTGCGCGCAACATCTATCTAGGCAGCCAGAATGCTACGTCCATGTACAACGAAAGCGCATACGTGATCGTTCATAGATTATATACAAGCGAAATGGAGGCATTCACATAGACAGCGTAGTGGCACAATGAATTATTAACTCGACGGTTGGCAAACCGAATAGGACCATGCGTCATACCAAGTTAAAACTAAATTGCTTTCAAGTTTCTAGCTCTTTCGTACAAGTATGAGAGAGGGGCCACATCCTTGTGGCAATGATGTATCGTTTAATAATGTCGCCATTTCATTGTTTTCATTTGCTTATTTAATTGATTGTAAAACTTTGTTGAATAAGTTTATTTTTAGTTAGTCAAATGAACACCAGTCCCTAATCAACGTACGTTTAAATTAGGTTCAATGTTGATTCAAGTATGCTCAATGTGGTTCAAATTTTGTCTAATGGAAGTTCAATATAGGTTTAAAGTAGGACTAATGCAGGTTTAATGTAGGTCTAATGTAGGTTTAACGTAGGTCTAATGTAGTTTCTAATTGGTTTAATATAGGTCAAAGGAGGTCAAAATAGGTACTTTATAGGTCCAAGTAGGTTTAAAGAAGGTCCAAGTATATTTACTTAAAGTCTTTCTTATTTAGGTTCTAATATTTTCAATATAGGTCTTAGTAGGTCAAAATAGGTATCTATTAGGTAAAACGGAGGTCCAAGTAGGTTCAAAATTGATCAAATAATGTTCAATATGGTTTAAAATTTGTGTAATGTAGGTTTAAAGTAGGTAAAAGGTTGTAGGTACCAATTTACCATGTAGGTTCAATATATATATCACAGTAGGTCAAAGTAGGTATCTTGTAGGTCAAACGAAAACTAACATTAAACCAAGTAGGTTTAATGTAGGTCGAATTTTGTTTTATGTAAGTTCAATGTAGATATAAAGTAGGTAAAATAATGTAGGTTCTAATAGTTTTAATGTAGGTCAAAGTAAATTCCTTGTTGGTATAAATAGTATTAATATTTTCAATATAGATCTTAGTAGATCAAAATAGGTAACTTGTAGGTCAAACGGAGGTCCAAGTAGGTTTAAAATTGTTCCAATAATGTTCACTGTAGTTTAAATTTAGCACAATTTAGGTTTATAGTAGGTACTAATAGGTTCAATATAGGTAAAAATAAATCAAACGGAAACAAACATTAAACCAAGTAGATTTAATGTACATCGAATTTTGTTTAATTTAAGTTCAATGTGGGTATAAAGTTGATCAAATAATGTAGGTTCTAATAGTTTTAATGTGGGTCAAAGTAGGTCAATGTAAGTTTCTTGTTGGTATAAATAGGTTCAAATTAGGTACATTTATGTTAATATAAACATATAAGTATAATGTAGATTCTAATAGGTTTATTATAGGTCACAGCAGGTCCAAATAAGTATCTTATAGGTCCAAGTAGGTTTAAAGTAGGTTCAAGTATATTTACTATGGTTTAAAGTACGTCTAATGTAGGTTCTAATATTTCCAATATAGTTCTTAGTAGGTCAAAATAGATAACGTGTAGGTAAAACGGAGGTTCAAGAAGGTTCAAAATTGGTCCAAGAATGATCACTGTGGTTTAAATTTTGTAAAATGTAGGTTTAAAGTAGGTACTAAGGGCAAGTAAGTAACCTACTAAGTAGGTACAGTGACCTACTATGACTTTTATTGAAATAGTTACCTTATAGATCAAACGGAGGTCCAAGAAGGTTTAATGTATGTCAAATTTTGTCTCATGCATGTTCAGTGTATGTATAAATTAGGTCTAATATAGATTTAACGTTGGTCAAATTAGTTCAAAATAAGTACCTTACAGTTCAAAATAGGTTCAAATTAGGTCAAAATAAACTTTAGTAAACCTACATTTACTCTAATGTGGGTTCAATATAGGTGTAAAGTAGATATAATGTAGGTTTTAATAAGTTCAAAGTAGGTAGGATCTTATAGGTCCAAATAGGTTCAAAGTATATTATTCATGTTCAATATAGGTATAAAGTAGGTCTAATTTAGTGTCAATTTGGATCAAAATAGGTACCTTTTAGGTCAAAGTAGGTCAAATATTGTCTAATGTAGGTTTAATATAGGTTTAAAATAGGTCTAATGTAGGTTCCAATAAATTTTCTTTGGGTC